ACACTGAAAGCTACCTTTTTGATTTCCAAATACTGCTACCAGACAGAACAGCAATTAATCTAAAGATAGAATCAACCTGACAAAATTTCCAAAAATTATTTTGATTGATTCTTTGTGCAATATAGGAATATAGCTGGTCTTTTTTGTGCTTGTCTTCTTTTTTTGGGGGAAAGGGAGAGAACATATTTAGACTGGGTATTTTTCAGTGGTAAATTGCATAAAAAAACTTCTGCTAGACTGTGGGCTTGATTATTTTCAGTGCATGACACTTAGGAAAGGATCGTAACTCTGTAAATATGTACCTCAGAGTTATGGGGCCTGTCATGTTAGATAATACAGAGAACAAGAGTGTGAAATTTCAACCCATTCCCTTCAGTAGTTTAGGAGATACCAACTTGCAAGCAAACAAATCAACCAAAGGTGTGTTAAATAATTCTCCCTATTCTTCAAAAAGTAGAGCTAAATATCACTGCAGTTCTGAAATTATAAAATCTTAGGGTCTCGATATGGGGCTACTTAAGTTTCTTTTTTATTCACTTTCAAATTCATTTCACTTGTGTGCAAGCATTCTGGAAAGCAGTTTTAAGACATTTACAGTAAACTTCACTTATAGCGAACACGGTTATAGCGAACTTTCGGTTATAGGGAACAATTTATTTTGGCCCGAATTTTGCCCTTCTTTATTTAATATAAAAATATATGGTTATAGCAAACACGGTTATAAGGAATTATCGCTTATAAGGAACTCATTTCTTAGTCCCAATCTAGTTAAAAGTACAGAAAATTACACTTTTATAACGAATTCCAAAATATTGGCTATCCGTAAATAGACTTTCTTTTTCATAGGCACGGATTAAAACTCGAATTTACCGTTTATCGTTGTATACTGTGCTCCTCTTAGTTCACGGTACTTAACACTTTAAAACAGTAAAGAACACAAACAATAAACTTACACAACAAAAACTGTCATAAACTGTATCATTTAGTTATTTTTCTGCTATATGACACAAGGAAACAACAATATATTCAATCAAAATTAGTTTTAATTTGTCAGATGTAAACCGTCTGTCGGCCATTTTGAAAACAGTATGTCATCATTTACCTCGCGGTAATGGTGTTTTATTTCAGTTTTTTCATGTTTCAGTTACAATTTCTTTAAGTTATTTTGCATAATTATAAATATAAAAGTATTTCTACATTGTAACTTAAAATTTATTTTTTCAACACACAAGAACATTTAGAAAATGATGATTGTTTCAGACGTATGCACAAATTTAATGGACTGTTGTTGTTTTTTGCAGAAGTTTGTAAAATGTTGTTCAGTTTTACGTAAAAATCTATAGATTTAAATTATTTTGCACAAAAACTTTGTTGTTAAGGTGTTTGAATTAAATATGTCAATTCTGACCAATTATAATAATGGTCACATGAAAATATGCCACTACCGCGAGATAAGTGATGACGCGGAATTAGTGATGTTGAGTATATGTACTTCAATACATCTATTAAAATTAATTTGTATAGTATTCTATTAGGATATTTTTAGCATGAGCTCTTTTCACCAAGATAAAACGGTTATTTATTTCTTTTCTTCAAAAGTTTTGCTCAAGTAAAATAATTATAATGATTTATAATCGGTTTTCAACATAATCATGCATGCTTGCAAGCACGATCCATTGCAAACTGCAAAGTACACTTGATTTAAATTAAAAGAAATCTATATCTTACATAAGTAAAAGTCACCTTTAAATTATAATAGAAGATATTCAATATAAAAGGAAGAAAAAAAATCGAAAATCTTGCATATTCTCAATCATGGAAAGAAAATGAAAAGAGTTTAGAAACAAAATATTATATTTTATGAGAAATTGACATAGGGAGTAAAACTTAAACTGGAATAGCAATTATTTAAATTCCAAAAAGTATGTTCTCGGGTATTGTGTCTAAAATAGAAATAAATGATTAATATTTCTTAATCAAATGCTCTTCAAAACGGCGGACAATTGGTAAACAATCAGTTTGTTATATGTAAATCTGTTCGCTATAAAAGCTCCTGATACAAGGAACTAATTCGCTATATGCTTACAAGGAACTCCGGATATATGGAACAGATTTTGAATGTCTCAATGAGTTCGTTATAAGCAGAGTTTACTGTATTTAGCAATTAAAGGATAGATATGTACAACTTTTTTATACAGATTATCACAAAGCCCTATTTTCAATAAAAAAAAATATATAAGATAGCCATTTATTTCAAACAAATAAAAAGTCTGCATAGAATATAAATTTCTGTTAAAAGTTGCCTTGCTGTCCATTATTTAAGACCAAAGCTGTACCAGAGTAGAATTATCAACCTTTCTATAAGCTAGCTGGATAGCTTCCGCATATTTAAACCATCCAAAGTCCCTTGCGGAATTCAAATCTACATCAGTGATGGTCAAGTGATTCCAAATCATTGATCTTAACACCTTGACTACAGAGCCCCCTAACACCCACCACACTCTCCTCTCCCCCACCCATAACACACACTGTCCTCACCTACCCCCCACCTACCCCCTTTGAATGCCAAATATGAAATTAGTCACATGACTGTATGAAGTTACGTCAACAAGTACCTGCTTCCTTATCGATGATTTCCAAACTCTCTAATTGCTTCATACTTCGGAGTTTATTTGGCGTAAGTGACCAGATCTTGATGTTTGAGTCTCCAAACCCTGTGCACATCAGACTGGAGTCTTCAGATATTTCAACGGATGTTAAACTGCACAAATTATACAACATTCACATGAAAAATGAGTTCAGAATATAAGAATATAATGATCTTATGGAGTGAACACAAAAGTATAATGCTGCAAATACCAAGAAGTGCCATGAAGGGCGTCTTTTAGTGATGTTACTTCACATCCTTTGTTTTGTTTCTAATTCTGTGTGTAATAAGAAGGCCAAAACACGGAAAGCTACAGCGTTTATAATTATATACCGCAATTTAACGATACCCTCTTAATCACACACCTATGCCGATTTGCGACTCTGTAAAAATTGTGTTGCATGGGCATGCATATATTTTGATGTGACTTCATTTGCGTTACGCAAACATATTTTTAAGACACACTAAATGTTAGCGTTTTAACTATAAGTGCATCAATGAAAAAAGGATTCTTTTTCACATTAAACAGCCTATATTTTGGGTTTTTCAGTTTTTAAAAAGAATACTTCCAAAATGACTGCACGAAAGAAATATATTAGTATATTGCCTTAAAAGCACAAGAAGCATACACAAAATCATTGTTTAGTTCAAGTTAATTTGTTAAAGACCTTCAAAAAAAAACAACCTAAACATTCTGTTCCGGAACATTTTACTAAAAGCATTGCATGGCCTACATGATAAATGTAAATGACTTTACTTACCCCTGTACAGCATTATGAAATGTGTAGAAGCATATAGAAGGCGGAGAATTGGGTCCTATTTTCACCCTCTTTAGGGCCTCTCTGTATGCATTAATCTTCTCCATTTTATCATAGTCCTTCCTGTAAAAGTCAGAGAAAGAAATATTTTTATTAATATCTCATTGTCTTGTATTTCAGTTTTTTCTTTGTTTGTTAGTGTTTGTCAGGTTTTTACGCCAATTTAAAAAATAATGTTGGTCATATCTTGGAGATTTTCAGATCTAACCAGCATTCCTGAATTATTTAGGTGTAATTACCAATTTTTCTGCAAGTGAACAGCTATTGATCCTCCATGATTTCTGAATCAGTAGTGAGAGACAAATGACCAACATACTTGAAGTCAGAGATCAGTCGTCACAAAAAATTGCGCCGCCTAAACCCCCCCTACCCCCCAAGGATCAAATCAGCGACCCCTTGACTATTGATCTCATGATCTTCCTATTGAGCTAGCATTTCAGAATAAAAAATAAGAGTAACAAATGCTGATATACTAGGGGAGGTTAAATCTACTTGTTTAAACAGAGACATCAATCAAAAGAAAAAACCTAAAAAGTTGTCATTTTATCTGACATTTCAGAATAAAACATGAGAAGTCAGCTTTTATAAAGGGGAAAGCTATTTTTCATTTGTATACTGTAGAGGTTCAAGATAACAAAGTTATTAAATTTCAAATTTTCTACATTAAATTTTCATAATTGTTTGGTTTTACGATGCACCAACACAACTTAGGTCTAATGGCGCCAAAAGTCTGAAAAGATGATTTTGGCTAACCTTGGGTGTTACAAACTCAAAGCAATACCAGGGTTCAAAAGCACCTCGCCTGCTGGAGAAAAGAGATACATAGACTAGTAATTTGAAGCCATTTAGTCGCCTCTTGTGATCACACAAGGATAAACCGTAGTTGTAATTCTTATGCCTAAACCCTTAAAGGCAACCTGTCAGCCACAACACATTTTCAGTATTCTGATGCCTCAGCGCTTTAACTTTAAGTTAAAGGCAACCCCTCAACCCCAAAACATTTCAGAATTCTGATGCCTTAATCCTTTAAGGTCACCCCTTAGCCACAACACATTTTCTCTACCACTTAAACCCAGACAATTTGGTTTCAAAACCTACAACTAGAGTGGTTAAAGTTGAAGTCTTGGTCAATGACCTATAAATATGACAGTGGCATTCTGACCAGGTTTTATACAGTCTAAGGTATATGAACTAAAAGTTTTGTATTTTGAAATGGAAATCCATTAAAAAAAATGAATGGACTGTAGTATAAATGTAAAGCTGGACCAATTTTTTACACAAATTCAGAAGATCAAGGGTTAAATACTCACAATTCAGGCATGGGTATTCTGGTAGATGCAGGAGCATTTGGGTCATTTCTTGCTTTCTTCATCATCAGTGGGTCTTTCTTCTGCTTCTTTTTCTATAGAGAGACAAAATAACACTAAATACACAATAAATACACAGTAAATACACAGTATCACACTCAAAGTATAACAATACAAAAATGTTGAAAATATGCAAAACTAATTATCAAAATTTACAATCATAAGACATCAAATAACTACACAAATGCACAAAAATTATAGAAATACATAATAATTATGCGAAATTAACATACAATTATTACACATATAAACAATAATTAGGTAAAAACATAATAATTATTGGTAGGCAAAAACACAATAAATGAATAGTCAATACACATAAACAATAATTAACCAAATGCACAATTATTCATGAAAATAGATAATTATTAATATTCAAATACACAATAATTCATTAAAATGCATATAAATTATGCAAATTACACAATTACAACACAAATACACAATTACTACAAAAATAGTCCATAATAACCCATAAATTACACAATTATATAATTACACATAATTAAACAAATACACAATAAATACTCAAAATACACAATAATGACACAAATTACTCATTTTTTTCAAGCATGGAAATATACTTACCTTTTTAGACTTAACATGGAAATAAAATTTTTAGGAGTACAGCCAATGTCATTAAAATTCTTAAATTTGCTTTATGCTGAATTAGATGTATTCCTAAAGACTTATCAAGATATGGCAACCCTTACAACATGTTGAACATAATGCATCTGTTTTATTTCTTTTGTTCTCAACATAAAAATTTAAAAGTAAAAAATTTTTGAAATTCAATAGTGTTGTGGACCAAGTTTCATAGAAAGTCATACGTCCTATGAGATAAAATCAACATTAGGACAAGCTTAGGACTGTTTCAATAAACATTATTATCTTAAGTTAAAGACATTAGACCTTATTTAAATGTGCTCTGCTAAGAAAGTTAATAAAATACAATAACACGCACTTCCACTGGCAATCTTGATCTGCATTGCTATTCGGCATTTGATGGGGTTATAAGAGGGAAGTCATCAGTATATATGGATATTATATATTACTGCCTCAGGTTTGGTCTTAAGACTGATTTCAGACTTTAAATATTATATGAAATCCAACCCTGGCTTTTATGCAATTCACTAAAAATTACAATAAGATAAATTTTTTCAATCAGGATTAAATTCTTTGAACAATTTTTAAGGATGACCACCAAAGGAACATTCCTGAGAAGTTTGGATGAAATTGGCTCAGTGGTTTTTGAGGAGATGTTGTTTAAAGTAAAAATTTACGGACAACGGACGAAAAGCGGTCACAAAAGCTCACCATGTGACTTTGTGACAGGTGAGCTAAAATGGGGCATAACTCCCTAAATATTACTTTTAGGTAACTACCCTATAGATCTTCCAGCTGCTCCTTGTCAAGATAAACAAGTATTCCATGTTAATGTTTCAAGCTGATGCCTTAAGACTTTTTTTTTCAGAACTGAGAAATTAATAGCTAATGAATAAACATGGAAGAAAAAACAAAACAGGACAAAAGGAACATTTGTCATCTTTTATTTCTATCCATTTCTACAAGTAAAACAGGACATTTGAGCAGTACTGGTATAACAATTATTGATAAAACAACAAACAGTGAAAATGAGCAAAGGTATCCAACTATATCTGTAAATTGACCAATCACAATTGAGAAAGCCAGTTTCCCCAATACTTCAACAGTTGCCATGGTAGTGTAATGGCTGGCCTGAATTGCACTTGGTGACCTCTGTGAACAGTACATCATGAGGGTGAAGGTCGTTGTCGTGACAACACCACTGCCAAGCAACAGCAGAAGATAACACAGTATGACACAAACTGAAAAAAAAAATAAAAAAAATATATATATAATAATTAAAAGGTATGAGATAATGCATATTAATTATACACTAACTTACTAAAATATGAAGAGCTCTCTGTAAAACAGTGTTCGACTGTTCTCAGTGCTTGACAGTTCAGAAAAGGAATTAACTCTTTTAAAAGGTAACTCAGAGTTATGGGACCTGTGCCTTTAATGTGAGATAATCACAGAGAACAAGACTAGTATGTTAAGTTTCAACCTATTCCCTTTAGCAGTTTTGGAGATACCAACTTGCTTAAACTTCACCATTCCCTTTCGCAGTTTTGGAGATACCAACTTGCTTAAACTTCACCATTCCCTTTCGCAGTTTTGGAGATGCCAACTTGCTTAAACTTCACCATTCCCTTTCGCAGTTTTAGAGATACCAACTTGCTTAAACTTAACCAAAGTGTGACAGAGATGCTCACATTGAAGATCTTTTCTGATGGAACAAAGAAGAGAAAGTGAAATGCTAAAGTCACCATGCCAAACAAAGGTGTGACGAATTTTTACAAATCTCAAAAACCTGTCCATCAGGTCAAGGTCAAATTCAAAATAGGTCAGGGCATCTATGGCCAAGTGGTTAAGGTCGTTGACTTCAAACCACTTGCCCCTCACCGCTCATGGGTTCGAATCCCAACAAGAACGTTAGATTCTTTCATGTGAGGCAGCTATACAGCTAGCTTACGGAAAGTTGGTGGTTCTACTCAGGTGCCTGAAATAGGGCACCTGAGGTCTTCCTCCACCAGTAAAGCTGGAACGTTGCCAAATGACCTATACTAAGTCAGTGTGACGTAAAACTCAAAACAAACAAACAAAATAGGTCAAAATGAATCTCTTGGCAGCAAAAGGTATCTTGTGTGTACATAATTATGAAGGCTGTAGCTTAATGAATGAAGGCCAAGGTTACATTTGTCAACAGAAAAACATTGGATTAATTAAAACAATTTGTCTCATCTGTTAATCCATGTCATAAAAATATAAAAATCAAATCATTCCATCATTTAACTTGCTTGAACCAAAAGTGATTAGCCTTTGCCACCGCCCACAAGTACAGAGCCAGGCCAGCCTTCATATCTATGCAGTCTGACCAGGCTCTATAATGTTGTCTTTCTTTTTTCTGTTGGGTGTTATGTCACATCAACACAGTATAGGTCATATGGAGACTTTCCGGGAAGACCTCAGGTGACCCTTTGTACATTATATCAGGCACAAAAAGAGTAAAACCACCAATGTTTCATAATCTAGCTTGAAAGCTTTCTGACCTGAAGAATGAAGAATCCCACGACACTTGCGAGACTCGAACCTACAGCAGGGAGAGGCAAGTCGTTTGAAGTCAACGGCCATTACCACTCTGCCATGGACACCCCATACTGTTATCTTACGCAGTTTAAATTTTTATCTTGATATACCAAAAACTGATAATGGACTGTTCTAAAACAGAAGCGGGACAAGTCCATTTAAGGAATACAGCAGGTTAAGGGGTTAAAGGGTTTTTTTTACCAAGACCAAACGGACATGTAAAAATAAATAAATTTGCAAACATTCTCTCACTTTGAATGTATTTAAAACAATAAAAACACTTTTTTCAACAGACATTCAATTATTGTAATAAAACGTTATACCTCAGGGCATTTATGAATAGATAAAATGTTTGTTATAATTAAACATTACCTGAAATGCCTGCACAGTCATTTACAATTAGAGACAAATCAAGCATTATAATGAAATAAGACTAAAAACGTTAGTCCTTGTATTAAATGCACTAGCAGGGTGCCTTAGGTGTTCAGAACTTCAGAAGATAATAGTTCATACTTTAAAATCTTTCAAGTAAGTCAGTTAGTTTAAATTTTAAGGTAGTCAATTCTCAAATAAAACACACTATAACTAAAATGATTAAGACATTAAAGGAACTCCACTGAGGTCCAAAAGTCTAAAAAAACATTTAATTTCATATGTACATGTAGATCAGATTGGTCACTTAAATCAGATATATATGCAAAAGATGATTAAGCAATGTACTCAGAAATAAATTGTATTTTTGTGCTATTTTAAGCCTTATTTGAGCGCTACGCTTTTCAATTTTGGTTCATTTTTCACAATAATAGAATAAAAATTCTGGAAAAACAGAGTGAGTGAATGACCTGAAATTGTGCACACAAGTTATTGGTATAGACGTACATCAAATGGTACAAAAATCCTAAACACTTTTGTTACAGCGAGTCATGTCAAAAAACCTCAGAGGAGTCCCTTTAATGCCAAAGATATTGTTGATTCTATTATTTCGGTGACTCTGACAGTCTGACCTATACATTTAGTTCTATTTCCTGACAGATAAATCACTGCTATGTAATCTTACCATAATAAAAATGGTCGCTGTTTTTGTTCTCATCTGTCCACAGAGCAATAAGTACCACAAAACATGACAGAAGAATTGGTCTAATTATAGAGCAGCATGTTAGCACCTTATGCGGTTTATACCTGAAAATTATAAATATTAAGTCTGTAATGTACCATTTATTTTTTAATTTTGGTTGCGTTCCACGTCGCAACAACACTGTAATGGCCACCTTAACTAGAAGGAATAAGACCTAATTTTTGCCCCCCCCCCCCCCCCCCCCCCCCCCCCCCCCCCCCCCCCCCTGTTCATTATTTTGTGAACAAGTTCCTTGGTAGAAGCACCTGGGTAGAACCACAGACGTTACCTAACCTAGCCTGGATACTCCTCACATAAAAGAATCTAAGGGTCCAAGGTCGGAATTAAGAACCTACAGCAACGAGGGTCAAGCTCTTTGATATCCAAAAAACCTTAACCACTCGGCCATGGACGATCTAACTTCAGTCTAAACCCACTGATGTACTCTACCAATATGCTCAGTGCAGACAAAAATGTGTCGTCTGTTCAAGTGGAGCACTTTTAGTATAAGCTATTCTTTTCAATATATATTATAAATTATCAAAAAAAAAATGAAAAATGCTTATGTCCAGCCTGAGACACCAAGCTGTCAATTTATGATATTTAAGCATGGTAAGAGTTATAGAAGGTATGTGGTTCTATTCAGCAGCTGTTTTGTGAAAGAAGCTTTAGTACCTGAAGTCTTGCTCCAACAGTAAAGCTGAAATGTTCCCTTGTGGTCAAAAAGTGTAGTGACTTAATTAAAACCAGATTTAATTAAAACAAAGCTTTACAATTAGTAAAATATGATTCCAACAAAACTTGTACAACACATTAATAAACAATGTTATGCCTTTATGGTGCATTTTTATTTCATTTCCTTTCTTCCACATTAAAGCATTTAAAGAGCATAGCCAACAAGAACATGTTCAGCACACACAAATGCATCCAGCCATGATTCTAGTCAGTTGCAAATTTTCAAAATAAAAGGGTTTACCTATTCACTTAGTTACGGATGGACGTTTCAGTTACTATTTACTAGGGGGCATTAAAATAAAGGAATGTTCCTTTATGTCTTTACATTGCTTACAAAGCAAGAAAATTGAACAAAACTATACATATGCCTGTACATAAATAATAAGGTAATAAAATGGTTATTACTTAAGTTTGTTTGTTTTTCTTTTTTTTTTTGTTATTTGATTTTAAGTCACATCAAACCTAAGTCATATGGCAACTTTCCATGTAGGATTCGAACCCACAGCAGTGAACGGAAAATGATGTGAAGTTGGCAAACTTAACCATTCAGCCAGGGAGGCCCTAATATCTTTATGTAGTTGATTTCCAGTTTGCATATAAAAAAACTTAGCCTTCTTCATTTGAATGCATAGATCCCTAACTTGTCTAATTTTAATTATCAATAAGAATTTCACTACAACCTTTTTGTTAGCAAAGAGCATATGTCAATGTTTGTGGTGAAATGATAATCTATTGTTATGCAAATAAAAGGTAGAGTAATGATATATTAATAGGTCAGAAGAAATTGAATATTAATAAAATGTCTGCATTACATTAGATGAACAATTTATGTGCCAACCCCTACCTCATCCCTATCCATGTCTTGCCGTGCCAAATTTAAGATTAAAGAAAGCTTACCAGAATACAGAAATGAGCCATCCACCAATGAATGATCCAAATATTGATACACCTTGTCCAACCAACCCTGTCCAAAACCCTACAGAATATGATGCCATGCCCAGGTCCACTAAAAACAGTGGCATCATTGTCAGTGCCCCTTGTTCACCTGAAATCAAATTATAAAATTTTACCACAATTCATCCTTAACACCTATCTATTTTATATTTAACCAAATTGACACAAGACTAAAAAAACAAAACTTTTGAAATAATAATCTAAAAGAAAAAAAATTAACAGAAATAAACAAGACTTCCAAGGTGAACATGCATCAAAATATTTTCATCTTTGTCCAGTAAGAGTTTACTAAACTGTTTAGGGATTTCATGGACAGATTGACTTTTATTAAACTTAACACCTTAGTGCTGTAACGGGTAAATTCCTTACGTATTATAATAGTAGTTGCCCCATTACTGCACTATGGTGATAAATAAAATACATGATGGCTTCTTATAATCAAGCATATTTTACTGACAAAGAAGTGCATTATTGACAATACATGACAATATCTCCAATTATTTAAGGTTGTTTTTTTTTTTTCATCTGATTATATCAGGCTGCTGTGAAAATTACCGTTAAGAAATAATAATTTTTTCATAATAATCAGTTTCAGCGTTGTTTATCAGCTATTTAACACCAGTTTGGACCTTAAATCCTAAAGAATTAACCTTGAAGGTAGGTTATAAGAAAGGTATAAATTTAATGGTATAATTATGCTACACTTACCAAGTTTATATATTAACACATAAAATAAAGCCCATCTGTTTTGGGCAAAAAGACCTTTTTTATTGTTTCAACCCGTCTCCTTTTTATTTTCTGTTTTCCCTTTTACTCACGAATCGATTTTTCTTTTTTTTGTCCGTCTGTTGGGTCCTTTTTCTTTTGACATGCATCGATCTGGTAAACTTTTAACACAAAAGTAGGACCAATACACCATGCAAGCCCAAGGAACAATACCCCAACAAAAATCATAACCATCCCAGAGGCCCCCGCTGAAACGCTCCATGTCCCCCGACCTGGCTATTTCCGATGCTAATTCTGATGTGGCGAGAATCTGAATCGCTAGCCCGTCAACAGCAATATCTTGCGTGGCAGTGATCAAGTTAAACAATAGTAATATAAAAGCTAGTTGTGCTATGAACTTGGGACTTGTGAACGATCCAAGAATGCAAGTAAACATAATCCAACATCTGTCCCCCTACCCCAATTTTTTTCGTTCCGAAAGGTCTACAGTGGGCCACATGCCTTTTGATACCAGGAATTAGAAAAAGTTTAAAGAGCCATGTTAACATTGACAACCATGGGTTTAAAAAGTACGTGGTAGAAAAATCGTTTGTAGACCATATGGTTTCCCTTGAAAAATACAGAAACGCAGGAAAATACATTTCGAAATCTTTTCTGAATTTTGTTTTTTAAATTGAATAATTCATTTTTGATTGAAAATCATGGTTTTTTTGTCAAATTAATTATTCCCAGCAAAGAGACCACCTTCATCTTTAAAAAGCATTTTAAATCTTCCACTTGAATGAAATATATTCAATTGATTCATATAAATTAACATAGGTTGTTCAATTTATTTCCATCGTTGTTGACATGTACAATTCAACAAGGGAGGTCACTCTTAACTAATTTACTTATTATTCAGGTTGAACACCACAAAATATTTTCCTTCCGCATTGCAATATGAAAACAGGGGAGCCGAGCGTGAGAAAATGACAACCAAAACTTTTTTTAAAAAAAACAATAAAAAGTATTTGTCCCAGCACATGCTACTGATCATATATATCAAAAAATCTTAATATATGCCGTTTTGAAAAAAAATCATATTTCAACATGTATTATTATAGATGTTGAAATATGATTTTTCCACTTCATGGTTCGCAACTGCATTGTGTGATACAGATTTTGTTATTTTGCAAATTAAATTGCCTTTCAATATCATAATCATTAAAGCTGTATGCCTCCAGATGAGCCAAAATATTTCAAGAAATTCAATCTTTAGAAAAATTTATTTATTAAGATCTTAAGAAAAGTAAAAAGATTCAATATTTAATTAATTATTTACATATTATGGGCGATTAATGATTTTGAAGTATCAACCGCTATAACTCTACTGCTTTACTAACGCAGAAAGAGGTGTATGTATGCACAGGGGGCATACAGTGTTTGGATGGTTACAGGTATATACTGCTTGATGGTGACCTTAAAATGAGAATTTAAGTCATAACCCTATAATAATTATGTATATAAAAATAGACAAGGGGCATTACTCGGCAAATAGAGAATTTTCGATCACCCACAAATTCATACGAGATTTTCCTCTAATTAAATAAAAAATTTCCACAAACTATACTGCATTGCATAGCTTATTCAATTCACAATTGATAAACACTAACTCTATTCTGATATTCCCTTAGCCCACTTTAAGAAATTTATTCCAAACCGTCAACTTCTGTCACAAAATTGCCATTGTATTTTATCAAATATCTTTTATCATTTGATTTACCTTAGTTCTTTTTAAAACTTAAAGTGGATTGACCTACAAGACATTTTTCATGAGTTTTTCAAATATTGATAAAAACAACTGAAAAATATCATTTGTATATTCTTATTATACATTTAAAAAAAAAAAAATAATAATAATCTGGATCGAGTTCTTGTAGTGACTTGGTATAAACATTTGAATGATGATCAATTACTTTTGTTCTAAAACAATAAATTATCTGCTAAATATAGACATGTAATATTGTTTCATGTGTATTACACTTACCAACAGCATATACTAATAATATCTGTCATATGTTACAGTTTGGATCGGAATATCCAAGGGACGGATATTTCGAACTGAACCGCAAACATAAATATATCAGATTTTTTTTTTTGCATATTCTGTCATATTCTTTCATACTTAAAATGGTTTACCTCAATAAGATATTTGTTTATGGAAATTAATGTCATTTCATCCATAACTTCTTTCTTACAATAGTTTATGAATTTACAACTTACAAATAATAATGGCAAATGATGTCATCCCAAGCACATTATTCCATTCTAAAATGCGACATAATGACGTCATTTTAATATGGTTCATTCATAAAATGCGCTGAAATGACGCCATTGTATAGCAAGCGACAGAAATTTCTGGCATGGGTAAAACTAACAGAAATGCCAGTCTGATATGAAAATTTTTTTTTCTAAAATAATCTTAAAATTTTTATTTTTTGCCTGTATAAAGGGCCCAAATTAAATTTTACCACAAAAGAAATGTCTTAATATTGTTCTAATTTTTTGGGGTGTCTCTGTTTACAAATTTTAAGTTTCTTTTTCCAAAAAGGTAAAAACTCCCCCTTGCCCCCTCAATTTACCTTGGCAACCACCATCTATTGCTCTGGGTGTGTTTTTTGGGGGGCTATATAATTATACTATTTTAGTGATTTAATATTTTGTATGAAAGTTAAAATACTACTTTATTTCCATCTTGCTACATTTATGACAAACAAGTTCACATTCAGAGCTACTTTCTTCATGTGAAAAGCATCTAACAAACATTAAAACTGTTATTTGAATATTATAAAACTCATATTCGCCCTTTTTCAAGAATGAAAAATAAATTAGTTTCCGAGGCATAATGTGCTTTAATTTTTTATTTGTCTGTTTGGGTTTAACAGAGCCACTAACAGCACTGGTCATATCGCACCAACCACTATAATAAGTAAGCCTAGAATGAGTTGGTAAAAGTGAGTTAGTTAAATTATAAAATACAAGTTTACTTCCTTCAAGTAATCAATCAGGGTTTTAGATGGATCTGAGGCAAAAAGTTGTCTTAAGTGAAATAATGTGCCTTTAATTATAAAGCTAGAGATTACCTTTGGTTTATCTTCACCATCACCTCCACCTTCATCCTCGTCATCAGCCGGTATATTTATATCTGGTTCCTTCAGTAATCCATAAAATATCTTTGTCTTATTGGCTGAAATAAAAACAGTCAAACCTTACAACACTGAATTTAAAACTGCACACCCAGTAAACATGTAGTCGGACAAATGCTCTTTACTTCCAAATTTTTCCAAGGATATCCCTTAAATTGTTGCTGGACTGTTTAAAACAAGAGCTGGTCAAACCAAGTGATGATCACCAAATAGGTTTTGGACACAGAAAAGTAGTTTTTTGTTGATATCTCTTGTAGTATCAGAGTTATGCACATCTACCCAATGAGATCTATCTACCTACAAAGTTTCTTGTTGATATCTCTTATAGTTTCAGAGTTATTTCCCACACAATGTTTAAAGTGTAAAACTGAACAAAGGGCAATAATTCCAAAATTAGGCAAGGCAGAGCTACAGTTCTTTTGCAATTTAATACTACTCAGTGAGTAGTTTCTCTTCAACAAAGTTTCTTGTTGATACCTCTTTTAGTTTAAGAGTTATGTCCCAGACAAGAAAATGGGACAGACAGATAGACAGACAAAGTGGCAACTATATGCTCTCCCTTAGGGGAGCATAAAATAAGCTGGCAAAGTTAATTTTTGAATTCAGCAGGTAAAGAATTTTTATAAAGAGCACAGATTACTGCCACTGAATCATACAACAAAATCCTAGTTGTATATCATCTGTGCAGTTATCATTTCAACATGAACTTGCCAGATTTCACCATAGTTTGAAAGATACAAAATCTTTATATGTTACCTTAATAGTCCAGTACACTTTTTAACTGATATTCAAATGATAGTTTTGTCACTTGAAACATTATCTCTCCTCAGTCCCAGTCTATCAAAGGGAAACATATCTCCTTAGTCCCAGTCTGTTCAATGAAGATATATACCCCATCAATGTTACTGCTTGTAAAGGGAGACAAATCCTGCTTTAAGGCCATATCTAAGTCTGATCAAAGGGGAAAACCATCACTTCTTTACCACTACCAGTCTTGGAATGGGAGACAAATCATACCATCACTTTCAGTCTTTATCAAGGGAGACAAATCATCCAATCACTATCAGTCTTTATCAAGGAAGACAACATAATCCAATTAATACTCTCAGTCTTCATCAAGGGAGACAAATCAACCAATCACTATCAGTCTTTATCAAGGAAGACAACATAATCCAATTAATACTCTCAGTCTTTATCATAGGAGACAATATAAACCAATTTCTCCAAGTCTTCATCAAGGGAGACAAATCATCCCATCACTCTCAGTCTTCATCAAGAGAGGCAAATCATGCAATTACTCTCAATCTTTATCAAGGGAGACAAATCAACCATTCACTCCCAGTCTTTATCATGGGGGACAATATTATCCAATTACTCCAAGTCTTCATCAAGGGAGACAAATCATCCCATCACTTTCAGTTTTTATCAAGGGAGACAAATCATCCCATCACTTTCAGTCTTCATCATGGGAGACAAATCATCCCATCACTTTCAGTTTTTATCAAGGGAGACAAATCATCCCATCTCTCTCAGTTTTTATCAAGGGAGACAAATCATCCTATCACTTTCAGACTTCATCAATGGAGACAAATCATCCAACCACTCTCAGTCTTTATCAAGGGAGACAAATCATCCAATTCTCTCAGTCTTCATCAAGGGAGACAAATCATCCAATTCTCTCAGTCTTCATCAAGGGAGACAAATCATCCCACCACTCTCAGTCTTTATCAAGGGAGACAAATCATCCAATTCTCTCAGTCTTCATCAAGAAAGACAAATCAACCAATCACTCTCAGTCTTCAATCATCCAATAACTCTCAGTCTTCATCAAGGGAGACAAATCAACCAATCACTTTTAGACTTCATCAAGGGAGACTAATTATCCCATCAAGGGAGACAAATCATCCCATCACTCTCAGACTTCACAAAGGGAGACAAATCATCCCATCACTTTCAGTTTTTATCATGGGAGACAAATCATTCCATCACTTGCAGTCTTCATCATGGGAGACAAATCATCATATCACTCTCAGTCTTTTTCAAGGGAGACAAATCATCTCATCACTCCCAGTCTTCACCAAGGGAGACAAATCAACCAATCACTTTTAGACTTCATCAAGGGAGACTAATTATCCCATCAAGGGAGACAAATCATCCCATCACTCTCAGACTTCACAAAGGGAGACAAATCATTGAATCAATATACTAGCAGAATAGGCCTAGCATTAGAAAGGAATTATTGCTATTATCTCTGACAATGAGAATTAACCATTACCATGCTCATTATCTTAAATGGACCAATTTTTTAAAAGGTCGAAATCAAAAATATGCATGAATAAGAAAGTACCTTCTCTTGCAGCTTCTCCCAGCAATCCCCCACTTGTCATATCTATCTGCTGCTTTGTTCTTGGTATACCATCAAACACTGTAAGAATAACACAAAAGTTATATCAATATTCTCATAGTAAAATCAGAATTATGTCAAAAACACAATTATCACATTAAAACATGACATCAAATTATACTGGAAAATCAGAACTTTTTTTTGAGTGATTGACTTTCATAAATTTAAGATTTTTATATTTGCTGAGTATTATATTAATTCAACAGGGCAAAAAGCGGAAATTTGAAAATATTTAACAGCACTGGTAAGTTCAAAATGTTGAATTTGTAAAACTTGGCCTTGTGAATATTTCTGATTGTACAGTTAACTCTTACATACTATTTATACAACTTGTCTTCTATAATTACCATGTATTTGGCAGAAAACCTTATGTTTGTTGTTGAGTAAAAACAATTTGTAGCCCCTCCCAACTCCTCACCCTGAGATATGTGAAATAAAATTCTGCTGTTTGAAAAATGAGCTTAAATTTCACTATTAGCAACTTTCAAAGCAATACACCTATGGTTTCCTTATACCACATGAAATTTAAGTTGTGTACCCTGTTTTGTTGCGGTGAACAAGAAATATAAAAGACAGTCCAAGTAATATTTTTTTCCCCGTAACTTTTTTTTTATACAAATGTTTTTCATTTTCTTTTACAGGATAAATTTTAAGCCCACTCATTCTAGTGAGTAATAAATACATAATATGTTTTCTAAGAAAAAATCAGTATTTTCATGGTGAAGTGAAACTGCCTGCTTAAACATTCAGAATTTCATGCTATTTCACATTGCAATAAAAAATACTGATTTTTAAACACATTTATTTACGCTCGATTATAAAACAAGATATTGCAACTAATATAAATATTTGAATCTCCAACTTGAAACAAACTAGCACTGTTGCCACCAGAGTAAACATGGCTGTGTCCCTTTATAGGGCTTGAACCCATGTTCCTGGTTTTAGAAGCCACTAGGCCCAAGCACACTCCCGCACCCCCCTCCCCACCCCCAAAACAAACATGGCACCCCTTACCATCAATAAACAAGTGCTCTTGAATAATGTTGAGTAACAGGTTGAGTTGCTTTTCTTGTAGATATCTCTTCAAATGTGTGTAAGAGTCACGAGACATTTTCAGCACAAATTTACTGGACCTGTAAGTTATATAACCAGAAATTTATTTGTAGCTTTTATAATCTGTTTCAAAAGTAATTTTAGATCAATTTATTCAACATATTTCATTCATGCTACTTCATTTTAATAATTAATATAATTTCACAGTACTTTTTTTTCTCAAAAACATTTTGAGAATGGGTGAGGCAATGAGGGACCACATAATTTGGAATATTCTTGACTAACAATGGACAGTTGGAAAGTCTTTTAAAGTCACATTATTACTCAGAAATGAATAAAAGAAATTTCTGTAGTAAGGACAAACATTTTTTTTTATCGTCTAAATTAAGGATTTAGATCATATAAGATGCTTGTTACCAATCCCTCCCACTCCCCATGAGGGAAGTAGCAGTAAATGTGAAATTATTTTGTCATAAAAGTAGCAAACTGTAAACAAACAAAATAATAAATCACTATTTACCATACTAAATGCCAAAATGCAACAGAAAAAACCACAACAGAAAGAAAGATGGTTCAGGTAATTGGCAAATGAGTAACTTTTTTGGAAATTATAAAGAACACCAAAAATAAAAAGCTTTTGTGAAATAAATATTTAATATTTTCTGGAGAATAATGGACCTTTAATAAATTAGGTTTTTCATCATTCATTTGTATGGGGAAAAAGGCAAGTCTGTGTATTTGTGCAATTTGACCAGACTGCTCAATTGCTGCTTAAATCTTTCATTTTGAAAATATTCTTATTTAAGTTACTACAGTAAAATCTCTGAAAACCGGACCCTCTGAAAACCGGAATCCTCTGAAAACCGGACCATTTAAAAGTCCCGTATTTTCTCCTTATATGTTCATTGAAAAAAATCCTCTGAATACTGGAACCTCTGAATTCCGAAAACCGGACGATTTTCTGTGGTTTCTAATGATAAACATGCATAAAAAATCCTCTGAAAACCGGACAGCAATTTTATGTGTCAATGTTCTGTGTATTTTAATGTAGATTTAAACATAATCTTAACTGGTGACGTGTTCAATTACCAATTAATGATCATGTCTTTCTTATCTATGCAGGTGTGAAAACACTTGTAAGTGTGTGTAAATTTATTATTGGCAACTAAATTAAAGCTCTTTTATCATAATTGTGTCTTTCTCTGTATAGGTATGATTTTTCAAAATGTTTTAAATTTGTTGTGTGTGTTTTTTTTTAATATAAAATGTCTAAAAGAATTGGGGAACTATTGTTAAATGATTCCTGTTTTGCTTAAAATTTTGACCTTGAAGTTATCTTTGTTTGGATATTAATTAAATGCAAATATAGTAATACTAAATTACATTAATTACATATTTCTAAAACCAATTAAAAGGATATATTTAACCCATTACTTCATGAGCATTTTGTGAAAAATGGCTGTTTTCATTGAAAAGTCTCCCGTTACAAGTTCAAATTGCTATAATACTATTAATACTGCTTCAACACTAATCAAACTTGGCACAAATGTTGACTGGACCATTGCCCTTGCAACAACATGCTCAGGCTTAAATTTTCTGTTACCATAGCAACGAGGGGACATCTCAAAATTGCCAAAAATCACTATTTTGCGTTGATATTTTCCATCAAAATTGATTTCAAAGTGCTGCAATTTCTCAATGGATTGAGATAGAGTCAAATGCTTTTCAGCGTTGGTTACACGTTACCTTATGATCAATCTGGGGTCATTTACAGCCTCTCACAAGTCCAAAATTTTCTTGGCGATGAGGGGGACTCCGCCCCCCTTCAAACCCCCCCAAACAGAAGGGGGCACATCCCCCTTCTGGCAACCCCCTGATGTATCTTTTGGTTGGGGGTCCGCGCCGAAAAAGAGGTCACTTTTTTTAACAACATTTCTCAAACAAAAACAAGTGTTTGGGGCCCTAAATAAGGCATTTTTTCATCATTTGAGACAACAAAAAGGGGGGGGGGTGAAAAAGGCGTTAAAAGGCGTGTATATGAAGTAATGGGTTAAGACAATGTGTTGTTTTAATTTCTGATTTTCAGAATTATATTCATGGATTTGCATAATAAAATTACTAAAAGACATTTATTGCAAAAAGAAATTAAAATATGACTTAGGCAAAAGGGTTGAAAAATGAATACAAAATGTTTGAACAAAGTCATTGTTCAAACACATTATAATTATCATTAAATGTGTAAAACCTCTGAAAACCGGAATCCTCTGAAAACCGGACTTTTGGTCAAGTCCAGACAGGGTCCGGTTTTTAGAGTTTTTACTGTACTTAAATTTTTCATTTTTGTAAAAATTCTAGTTCAAGTTACTTCTTAAATCTTTCATTTTTAAAAATATTCAAGTATAACTTACTACTTAAATCTTTTACTTTAAAAATATTCTAGTATAACTTACTACTTAAGTTAAATTTTTATTTTCAAAATATACTAGTATAACTTACTTAAAATTCTCCATGAGTTGACTCCCTTTCATATGCTCGGCTTTTGTCACTGTGGATAACTTGTTCAAATCTTCGACATAATACTCCTCTTGATCCAATGAAAATTTCACAAAAAATTTCACAGCTGCAAAGATGTAAAATATGTGCATTATTTGAAATTATGCTTGTAGATAATTTACATGTTATTTCAACCTGGTTACCCTCTAACGATGCAGATTTCTTGTACTGCACTTGCCCTGCTTTATAATTGGGCAATACCCATTGTAAATATGTCTGTAAGTTTTGATATCCAAATGCCTGATTTAGACAGCAAGCAGAATAATGTCTAGTTAAGATTGCAAACATTGCTGGTTTTGCTATATACTAGTGTGTTTGTTTTTGTTTGTTTGGTTTTAAAGCACACCACACTTAAGAAATCATATAATTATTATGTGACGAGTTTCCAGCTTAAATACTGATGGAGGAAGACCTCAGATGCCCGTTCATGAATTATTTAGGCATTGTTCTGGCACCTGAGTAGGACTATCAACATCCCTATATGCTTACTGGATAGCTTCTTTCACTTAGAAAAATCCCAAAGTCCCCTGACAAGATTCAAACTCACAGCATTGAGAGTTAACTAACCCTTTTAAGAGTTAGTAAACAAGTAAAGGAAATTGTCACAAAATTGGTTTTTAAAATTTCACATGCTTAGGCTAAAATGTTTGGTAAAGCCTTGACCTACCATGCCTGCTCCTCATGTCCATTGTATACCAGCTCTAAATACATGTGTACAAAAGTACAGGGTACAGATAGTGGCTAGCCTCTACCTGACAAAATAAATCAAACATTCATTTAAATGATTTATCAATAAGCTTATAAGCAACGGTTGATACTTATTTGAATCACATTCAAATCTGCTTCTCTGAACTGTATGTTACAGATATAAATTAAGAAACATGGTCACAACCACTGTAAAGCCTTGCACTCACAATTTCTGGCCTTAAGGTCACTACGCCTCTTGAATTTAAAGACTTAATAACCGAACATAACGGATTATGATTTAGGTTGTTAACTTAAGTTATCATGAGAAATATTTCTTATACATGAAAGTAATGCCTGATGAATTAGCATAAAAATTACTTTAGTTAAAACGTTCCTTTATACATCTTCAGTATGTTGCAGTATTACATGTTATTAAATGACATTTAATGAGCATATTGTCACTTTAGAAAAATATTATTTTTAATGGTTTACTTACCTTATGTACATCGAGGCATGACTCTATGAAAACTTTGAAGTTTGTGTAATGATCATCATATAAACTGGGGTCATCATCACTGTAATATAAAAATATAATATAGCCTTATATACTGTAGACTGTATACACATGAACCTTACCCCCAAATAGGTGACTTTTAATAACAAAACTGCTAACAGACAGATGGCCAAACAACCAGGTGCATATCAATACGAAATTCATCACTGAAATATAAAAATTAACATACCAGGTGGCTACATTGTAGACTGTGGAAAACAAAAAAAATCACAACAATTACTACTCCGGTTTTATTCGTGTTTGACACAAATTCTGTGTAAATTACCATTACTGTATTAAATGTATTAAATGAATAAAATGATGTCCTTACAGGGATACACAGGCAAAATTTTCATTTCTTTGTTTTGAATTTTTCATTCATTTATCTGTTAATGCCCTCAAAATGAAAACACTAAGCAGTCACAGGAACAAAAAAATTCTCCTTATAATGAATAAAATGGTGGTTTCCTAACCTGACCCACGTGGGTCAGGTTAGAGTGTTAAGATTTTCACAATAGTTGTCACAAGTGATATCTGGAATCGTTAAAGAACGCCGTCAAAAAATGAATGATTTAGACTTGTTTCAATCATACACTATCCACAATATCTGAAATTGTAACTTCTAGGGTTTTGTTTCAAGCCACATTACTAGTTTTAAAACTACTCGGTGATTCTGTCGGCGTCTAAATTTTGTTTAACATTTATAGATATATTTACCCTTCAAACCAAAAATATATAGATATTTTACAGAAATTCATGCTGGGACTTTTATAAATGTCATTTTATCATGATTCGAGTACATAATATAATTTTGATATTTTTGTCATAAATTTGCCTGAATATCCCTTTAAAACTGATGTTAAAATAAATACTGGTAATATTAACATCTGCTTAAAGCTGCATGTCTCTAGACAAGCCAAAATATTAAAAGAAAATCAAACTTTAGAAAAATGTTTTTAGATTTTAAGAAAAGGAAAAAATAATCAAGACTCAAGTAATGATCTACATGTTATGTGCAATTAATTACTGATTAAATACTGATTTTGCAATATTTATCACCATATTTCTACTGTGTGACTAACACAGTAAGGACTATTTCAATATTTTTTGTCTGTTTTTGGTTTTTTACTTGTATTTTTAGTGTTGTTTGAAATTCTATGTTCAGTTCACAATATTTTACTTCTTTTCAATACATTACATTTTTAAAATTTTAATGAAATTTAGCATGAATCTAGATGCAGGCTGCTTTAAAGAACCTTTTTTTCAGAATAACTAGCAAATTAATACCTCTTATATGCAGCCAAGGCATGTGAAACCTCCGATGCTGATTGACCAGTTGTATCCGGTTTAACATCTGCATCATCTAAACCAGTCTCCTTCTTCAACAACTCTTCTGTGCCCTTAAATAAATAAAATTTATATAATAACAGTTAACTATTGTCATGTGTCAAGAATTTATTTTCAGTTTTGGCCGGGTTTTTTTGTTTTTTCTCTTTTCAACACTATTGACTTGGTAAGCATATTCAAAATGTACATCATAAATTAAATAAAATCATTTTCAAATATATATATACACATGTAAAATAAAAATTTAAGTTTGATTTGGCACCATCTTGTTTTAGAAGCCCATTGGTGCCAACATCTTTAAAATATCAGATACAAAGTATTCTTTAAAGTGTTTTTTTGTAAATTTTACAAAAGTTAAATACTAATATAACTTCTGAGGCTTTTTTTAACCATTAACTTGCAGACTTTGTGTATTATGTCTGCTCACATTTGAATTCATAGTTTCAATATCAAAAAAATAAAAATTGAGAAACAAACAGTATATTGGCTTGGTGAATTGTTTTCTACACACACTGTCACATAATATAAAAAATTAATATCTGAAGAGAGCGCTTGGTATTTAGTTTGTTTATCTGACTTCCTTATTCCATTGGCTTTTATTAACAGGTTACAGAAAGGGGCTGTTAGGGAAATATAACTCAGTATTTTTTGCAAAAGGGGAAAACTGCATATAAAAGACTTTTTCTTTTCCTGGGGGAAAGACGGCAATAACAGCCAAACTGAAGAAGAAGAAAAAAAACGATAGAATAGCCAGAAAAGGTCAAATAAAACTTGACAATTTAAGTTTTATTAAATAATGTGACTCAGTGAGTAGTATTGTATACATTGGAGAGTTTTTGAATTTGGACAAACAAAATATGTTTTTGCTTGAACATTATTTTAAACTGGTTTTCAGTTGTAGACTCAATGTCATTCACATTATACATAAAAAAACGCATGCACAATAGTTTTAGGCGTTGTTAGATATAATAGAAGCAAGTGCCTGTGTGAGCCAGATTATCACTGAAAGTTGGCCATCAATTCTTTACTGTCAAACAAATGGAATGATATGAAGAAGTCAAAGGCTCTGACTTGCCAAACTATAGACTACACATGTATATTTATAAGGAAATCAAATAAAAACAAATAATTTAAAAAATATAATTATATAGAATTTGTATGATTAATTGTATCAATTATCACTCAATATAATACAAACTAGGTGAAAAAATCCCTACAGTATACAATACTATAAAATAAAGTAGCCGAAACTCTTGGAGGTGAAAAGACCAAGGCCGAAACGTCCAGGAGGTGTAAAGACTATTATAAAAGGCCGAAAAGTCCAGACACCTTCCAGACCTAGACTATTATTCAAGGCCGAAAAGTCCAGGAGGTGTAAAGTCCAGACGCCTTCCAGACCTATCAAATTTTCAGTGTCAGTTTTAGTTGATTACCATCATTTTCAATGTAACTCAATGATAATAGGGCGGGGTATTCTGATAATGAAACAATCGCAACTTTTCGATTTAATAATACTAGGAAAGTCCGAGCGGGGTCAAAGTCCCCGCGAGGGCTGTAGCGCTCTTAGATAACATGTATGACGCATATAAATTCAAATGAAATCAAATTAAAAGTAAATGAAAATTTCAAAAAAATACCTAATGAGCTGTGAAAAAATCCTTAGTTAACTGGGCGCCGGATTATTAATATAAAAATTTACTTTAACATATCCTTTTTCCTAAATAAGCACATTAAAAAATAACGTTAAAACAACAACTGTGATTAGAGATTAACAAAAATGGCGGATGGGATTTTCTTTTTCATGCACAGAGGTCCCCCTTTACATTCAGAGATTTTTGGAATATAATATTCGGAGCCCTCCGATGATAGGTTGAACACCACCAATTTATTTGTTTTGTATACGGTACAAAATATCTGCAAGAAAGATCTGGTTTACATGAAGACTAAACATGTTATGTTAAAATCATAATTCATAAGAGCTTTCCTCGCCAAAAGGTAGCACCTAATTTCATATTAATTATTGAGTGTTTCAATTTATTGCTTTTCCAGACACTTCACCCCCCAGACACTTCACCCTAGGCCCTTTTTTGCAGACACTTGACCCCTCAGACAGTTCACCCCTTATTTTAAGAAATTTGATTGAGACACTTCACCCCCCATTTTTTTTATTTTGTGTAACAACTATTTATGTAGAAAATGTTAAATGTATTCAATAGTGATTGAGTAGGCCCTATGTTTATTGTTTTAACATATTTTATTATTATTTTATCATGTAATTGACCAAAGACAATGGATTTAAATTGTTGTTTTTGCCTTAAAATAAGGCTCATATCACAAAGTTATTAGTAAGTAAATTCTTTATTTTTTATTTTATTTTTATATATTTAATATTATATTTTATATTATTAAGTGAAAGTGATATAACAAATTGTAGAATAATTTTTCTATCGAAGTGTGTGAATTTATGTGTGAATTTTCCTTTGATATATATTAAGACAGTATTAATTATACATGTAATCTCTTTCACACTTCCTTCTTTGTGTCTTTAATTGACAGTATCTTGTTTAATGAATTGAAAGCTAAACATGAATTTATTTATTTATTTATTGAACTGGCAACACATAGCATGTGATACCGGTAAGTTTACTTAATTTGTTAGCAACATTTTTAAGTAAGGAAAATACAAATTGTTTTTTTTTTTATTTATTACAATAAGTGTATAAATAATTCATTCATTCATTCGTTAATTTATATTTTTTCATATTCATTTTATATACATTTTATTATTTTTTACCAAACAATATATTTTTTTTTCATAAAATATTGTTTATTTATTTATTTTACATACAATATTATATTATTTATTTCTTTATCCACTTATTTCATTTTCATACAATAATACCTTTTTAATCCAATTATCTAATCAATTATGAGATAACTGTTGAATAAACAACCAATCAACATGTTGAATAAACAAGGTGACATGCAATAAACACTTAATGGATGGAAGTGCTTTGTATAACAGTGGTCAATACGATGATCATGAATTAAAGGGACTCCACTGAGGTTTTTTGGCATGATTGGACTGAAATATTTTTCCAGATAAGTGTACCATTTGATGTAGGGTTAGACACTAATCTTTGTGCAAAATTTCAGATCATTCCTGCACTTTGTTTTTCCTGAATAATTATTCAAATTGTAAAAAAATGACCCAAAATGAAGAGTGTTTAAAAACTCACGATTTTCAAATCATACGATTTTCAATTATTTCAAGTATATTTCTTAGGCCATCCATAAAAAATTGTTTGTTTGTAGTGCTCCGACCGACCCATGAAAATGGCCCCGACTCTAAAAATTTTTTACACCTTCGAGGATTTTTTTTTTTTTTTTTTTTTTTTGAGATCATTATATACCCATTCTGTTAAAAAGATCTTTCTCCAATAACTTTTCAGACAAATTTTGAACTGAGAAGTAGAAGAAAAGGAATTTTATTCCAAAACCAAAATAAACGCACGCTTTCCATCGATATTTTGCCAAACTTCAACCCCGAACATGGCGATTTCACATTCGCCAGAAACCTTAAATTTTCGCAAAGGGCATAAAAATTCTCAGTTTCCAAGCCAAACATGTGAATGAATTGTTCTTTTGTTAATTATTTAACATTAAATCTTAGAAAAGTCGATCCCCTTTCGAAGATATTAGCTAAAATAATTGCCGATCGGATGAATCTCTTACACACTGTGTGAAGCTGTACTCGATTTTCCTATTCATTCCACTAAATCTAAATGCTGCATATATAGGGCCTATACGTACACGGTACAGTTTATGGAAATGATGCCCTTTTCAAGATATTTTTACAAATATAAAGTTTTTGTCTGGACATATTAATGAATTTTTTTTTACATGATTTTACATGAGTTGACATATCTAACTTGAATACAATTTGATTTTTTTTTGGGTATAAAAATGAAAAAAAAGAAAAGATTGCAACCTTGCTTCAAAGATAAAATACATACATCAATGAATGTTAAAATAGATTACCCTCCGTAACCATAGGCCACCACTGTATACATACATTTTTACACAAAATAATACCAGAAAAACTTTATTGTTGACATAAATTAATTTAAATCATTTTGCCACTCATGACTGTCAGAAAATGAGGTTACACTAAAACTTGTTGAAAAAACAAGTTAATTGATAAAATTTTCGCGGGAAAATCGCTGGAAATTAATGGGTCTTTTCCCTATACTTTTAAATAAGTTATACCTGTGTTTTCTTTATAAGAATGATAATTATTCATTAATTTTACCTTTTCCTAAATTGTAATTTAATAGCCATATTTTTTTAATCTCTCTTGATGCAATCATGCACTGTTTTATTTTTTCTTTTGTTTTTGTTCCTTTTTTCTCCTTTGTAATTGTCCGTACTATATTCCCTTTTAAACACCCAAATGGGTTTATTAATTGTTACTCTCTTTAATCCAACTTTCAAAACAAACTCCAGGCTCCAGGACCTATTGATTACACACTATACATGTATACAGCAGGTGACGTAGATTTTTCTGCATACTACACTGCCATATATGGTAAGTACACACGACTGTGTGACAGGTGTAACATACATAATGATCTATTATTATGCTGGCTAGTGAATGGAGTTAATTAACATGGTTTGTTGGTTAAGTGGCAAGGTAATCTAAATTTTCAAGTGTACCCCTAAAATTTAACAAAAAACAAACAAACAAAAAAGAAAAAAACAAACAAACAAAAACAAACAATATCAAAAAAAGAGCTAAAAAAATCTGCTGTTAGTCATTTAATTTCAAATAATTATATTCTAACCAGATTAATATTATTTGCAGGATAATTCCCTTTATTCAATAGTAATGAGAAAAATGGATTTGCTACACCCCTCCCTTCTTTGTGCATTTAGTATCTGACAAGTCTGGACCAGGGTGGTCATGCAAAAAAGGTGGGTAATCATTGATTTTTACAAACAAAACACCTATACTTGCAGTGTTAAATTGCATTTTCAAATAACACTGAAATACTGGTATTGAGACTAATTCTGTTCTATTTTCTCAAGGGCTAGATCTGTCAAGTAATCAATATTGTATATATATTTTTTCTCATACCACTTGTTTTATTAAAGGTATTGTCACCTTTTTCCAGACATTGTTAATTGTCAGTAAATAAGGAACAAGTTCAATTATTTTGTTTAAAGATGAAAAACAGATGCCCAACAAAAGTGTTACATTGTATGTCTGTTATTCATTTGAAATATTTAAACAAAGAAAATATCAACAGAAATACATTTGCCTACATATTTTTAATTTGTCAAAATACAATGCCCACAGTATATCATGGAGGGCTATATACTGTGTATTGCTATACTCAGTATGCTCCAATTTTTGTAACATTTTCCAAAAAAAAAAAAAAAAATCCCCTACCTACCTACCCACCTCTTGAACATAGGGTCGGAGCACTACAAACAAACAATTTTTTAAGGATGGCCTTAGCTAATCTTTTCATATATTTCTGTTTAAAGTGTCCCAGCTCATAATTAAAATAAGCATATGATATCAAAAGCATTATGTTGTTGGCTTATTTTCTTTAAAGAAAAAAATTGGATGAGGGGTGAAGTGTCTTACTGATTTTGGGGGGGGGGGGAAAGTCTTGAGGGGTGAAGTGTCTTCAAAATTTGAGGGGTGAAGTGTCTGGACGGTGTAGTGTCTTGCTACCGCTTTTCCAGGACATTCACTTACAATAATTTTGCTATGATCGTAGGGCTAAATTTTCACCAATTGTTGAACAGCAGTTAAATTAGCATACGGTTAAATTGCCAGCAACTGACAGGAAGAACAAGAAGCTAAACATATATTTTGCATTGATCAGTTAATCACGAAAACATACTTTACTTTACTTTTTACTTTATCCAGCGTAGGGTCGCGAGATCAGAAATCTCTTATAACCCCCTCGAGGTCTGACACCCAATGATTATTATCCGGTATAACAGTATATAATTTGTTTTTCATAACCTTATCGAGTCTGTTTTTTAGCGAATTCAGCGTTGGTGAACATACTACATAATCTGGTAATTTATTCCACTCTGGTATTACTCTTAATGAGAAAAAATGTTTTCTTAATTCCTTTTTACATGATTTTATTTTCAACTTCATGGAATTTCCTCTGATGTGATGATTATCAAGTTGTGCTTTTTCAAAAAATACATTATAATCTATATCTTCCTTCCCATTTAATAATTTCCATGCTTGTATGATATCACCTCTAAATCTTCTGTAAGCCAAAGTAGGAATTTCCAGAATTTTCAATCTTTCTACATACGATAAATTTCTAATACATTTAACCATTTTTGTTGCTCTTTTTTGAACTCTTTCGATTGCTTCAATATCTTTTTTAAATCTTGGACTCCAAATAATATTTCCATATTCAAGGTGTGGTCTTATAAGAGTTTTATAAAGTTTCCGAAATTGCTTGATATTAACATGTAAGAAGGTATTTCTGACCAATCCAGTTATTTTATTTCCTTTATTGATACAATTACTTATGTGATGTCGAAATTTCAAATCCTTATCATATAATATACCTAAATCTCTTTCTTCCTCACTAGACCTCAATTGTTTAGTTGTAAAGTCACTTTTCATAAAATATTGATGTTCCGTGTTATTGTGTCCATAATGAATAACACAGCATTTGTCTACATTAAATTGCATTAACCACTTTTCACTCCATTGTATTAAACTATCATTGTCCTTTTGTATTTGGTTAAAGTCTTCATTTACATTTGCCAGGTTAAATAATTTGGTGTCATCCGCAAAGAGACGCAATGTACTTTTAATTTGACTTTCAATGTCATTAATGAATATAAGAAACAATATTGGTCCTAAAACACTTCCCTGTGGAACACCACTTGTTACACTACAATAGTCAGATTTACTATTATTAACAACAACACACTGAGTTCTGTTTGTAAGGAATGCTTTGATCCATGATAAAAGTGCACCACCAATACCATAAGATTGCAATTTAAGTATTAGTCTAGAATGTGGAACCATATCAAATGCTTTTTTAAAGTCATAATACAAACAATGTTGCAAATGAAATAAATTTAAATATAAGAAATACTAAATACTCACTTTAAGATTATTCTTCTTCAAGAATTGTAGAACTGCAAGAAGTGTTTGTTTATCCGATACGTCCGTTTTATTTTCCGATTTAATCTCACCGCCGGCAGGAAAATTGTTACCGGAAGCAATTTGATTGAAATTCGACGCCATATTTTTTGTCTGGTCCCCAGTTTTTTCTGCGATGGTAAGAAGATATAGATTGGAAGCTGAAAACCATACCCAAATATAGCTTTAACGCCAAAGTGAGTTTTGTAAGATCTGTAATTAACCATCTTTTAGGAGATTTGAATGCTAAATCTTAACTTTAAATTTTTTTTGGCTGAAAGTACAATTTAATTTTCCAAAAATATTTCAGATATAATAATTTAGATTTCAGATTAACTCAAAACCGGAACCGGAAGATCTTATAACTTTCTCTTTTATCCCTCATCTTCTCAGGTAGGACGTGTTTTGAAAAGTCAAAAAATATCTTAGAAAATCTTGAACATATTTTGAGCATCTTTATATAGGAACACTATCTAACGTTTTTTTCTTCTTTTGCAGATACTCTGAAACAAGATGAGAGCCAAGGTAAGCATTATTTGCAATCATTTTGACATTTTAGATAGGGTTATACATGCTCGATTATTTTGAAAATTATGATTTACATTGGAAATATGAATGAATCTTGTTTAATTGTTTAAGTCTTTAATGCCATGAAACATACCATGTTTGCAACCTAAATGCGTTTGTTGCAACTTTGATATTTTAAGAATATTGTAGTATTTGAACTTTTGTCAGACTTTGAAAGACTGATAACATCTGTATTGTTTTCATTTTCAGTGGAGGAAAAAGCGTATGCGCAGGTTGAAGCGAAAAAGGAGGAAGATGAGGGCTAGGTAATATTCTATAGACACTTAATTTAATTTGCTGAACTTTCTAACAGTTTACACCACATTAATGTTCAGGTCTTGTAAATCTCCATGCTGGCATGTTTAGTTATGTAAATTTTAAGGTTTGTGTTGACTTGAAATATGCTATAACAAGTTTTTTATGCCATCGCAGCATCTGCGATGCGGTGGCATATAGCAATTCACCTGTGTGTTTGTGTGTGTTATAAAGATTATATAGTTAACTTAAAAAATCTTCTTTTGAAAAGCAACTAGTCTAATTTCAACCATACTTGGCAGGATTGTTCCTTGGGTGAAAGGCTTCCAAAGTTGTTCAAAGAATTTCATTCCATGCAGAAATCTGGTTGCCATGGCAACCAAAGGAATTATAAGAATAAAATTAAAAAATCTTCTTGTAAAGACCCAAAAGGCCTAGAGCTTAGATATTTTGCATAAGGCATTGTCTGGTAGACCTCTAACAAGATTGTTCAAATTATAGCCCTGGGGTCAAAATTGGCCCCGCCCCGGGGGTCATTGATTTTCACTATGTACTTAAAGTAAAAACTTTAAATACCTTCTTGTAAAAACCCAAAAGGCTTAGATATTTTGCATAAGGCATCATCTGGTAGACCCTTACCAAGACTGTTCAAATTATAGCCCTTGGGTCAAAATCAGCCCGCCCCGGCAGGGGTTTTTTTTACTAACAAATTGACACCGATAGTCTGCGTCTTCCCCTCGGTAAATAGCCAAGTTTTTTCCCCCCAAAAATTCTATTTTTCCTTTAAACTGGATCAGATTTAATAATTACATGGTTTAAAATATTATTTTTCTTCATTTTATGCAGGATAAACCACCAATTGTTGTTCAAAATAACCAAAAACATTGCAGGAAACTGCAAGTACTGTCTCAACATGGAGGCAGCCATTTTTTTTTCTTGGCTATATCCCGTACTGAACGGTACTATTTCTGGAAATCAGTTGCTAATCAAAATATTGTCATTTTCTTGGTTATTTTTAGTAAAGTATATATTTTGTACTTCTTATTAAGAAAATGACTCATATGGAGCTAAAGTGTGTCACAGATACACTATTATACCTATACTGTATTAACTTTCATACAAAAATAGAAGTATAAAAACCATTCACCACCATACATATTAAGAAAATATGTTATACTGCAAAGAATATTTTGCATGATGATAAAGTTTTTAAGGGGAAAAAGATATAGTTGTAACTCTCTACTATGTAGTTAAGTATATAGTATTAATAACGTCATAAAGTTTCCCCAAATTGACTTTTTTCGTATATTTTTCCCCTCCCCACCAGCGTCCAGCGTCTTCCCCTTTTCCTAAAAAAAACCCCTGCCCGGGGTCATTGATTTTCGCTATATGTACATATAGTAAAAACTTAAAACACCTTCTTGAAAAGACCCATTAGATATTTTGCATAAGGCATTGTCTGGTAGACATAGCATTTTTCTCAAATGCAATCTTGTTTACCTTGTTTAGATTATATAGGGGTCTAGGTGTTTTAAATTATAAAAACTATGAATTTGAGTTTATTTGACATACCAGTTTATAAACTTAAAACTTGTATTATCTTGAACATAATTCTTATCATGCGCCCCTCCCCCCTTTGGAAGAAGAGGGGTATATTGTTTTGTTAATGTTTTAGCGGGTCTATCTGTAGACCACATGGTTTCCGCTGATTTTCTTAAAAAATATTAAGTCTTCAGGTGATTCCGCTTTGTCTGCCATGTTTGTTTTCACTAAGTGGATCCAAAGTGAAAGTAGGCCAAAATTCATTATGGCTTCAGAATGGTTTCCATTCATTATCTTGAAAGCTGTCTCTCACAGTCATATAGCACACATTGATTGGTCATAGGGCCTTTTTACCTTCTATAATGGGGGCCGGTATAGGGCTGCTTCCCCAAAGAAAATTTCAGTAACATGCAGTTTCCCCAGAAATTGAATTAACATCAGTTTTTCCTTCCCCTATTGCATATATACCATGTAATTTTTCCCCAAAATAAGGGACTGGGCTGCTTCCCCAACCTGTGGAAAAAAGCCGTGGGTCATAACCAGTAGATGACGCCTTTCGATTTTGTGGTCAATGTTGCAGAGGCCTTGAATGTTAGAATGATTTCTGCTCATTATCTTAAAAGCTATTTATCACTAAGTTTTCATGTTTCACATATTGCTTGGTTATATGTAGTAGATGACCCCTATTGATTTGGGGTCACTTGGTCAAAGTTCACAGAGGGCCTTAAATTCTTGTTGAAATGGTTTCTGCTTATTATCTTTAAAACTATCACAAAAGTGTCATAATTCACATATTGATTGGTCATAACTAGTAGATGACCCATACTGATTTTGGGGGTAACTATGTTTGTCAAGATCACAGGGGCCTTCAATATCAGAATGGGTGTCTGCTCATTAATTTTTGAAAACTCTGTCTTCATATTTAAATATTATTTGGTCAAATGTGGAAGATGACACCTATTGATATTGGGTCAAAGGTCATAGTCACAGGTATTTATGTCGGAATGGTTTTTGCTTATTATCTTAAATTAGCATATTTCAAATCTTGATTGGTCATAACAGTTGACTAGTAGTAGATGACCCTATTGATTTTGGGATAACTAGGTCAGTCACAAGTGCCTAAACTGTCAAAATGGTTTCCGTTCTTAACCTTTGAAAACTTTTTATCACAAAGTCTTCAAATTTCACATACTGATTAGTAATAAAGGGGTTCAAAGGTCGAGGTCTTTTCTATATCACATATTGATTGATTAAAACTAGTACGTCATTATTTTACTTTTTTTCATAACTGAACACTTCCATGTACCCACTTTTGGCATGTTTCTATGACAAAATTACCAAAACAGTAGGAGTCAAGGGCTAGAAAGTGGGGCATGAATGTTGTTCGACATTTCTTGTCCCATGAAAAAA